GATTTGATAAACTTTTTTTTTCTTTTTAAATTTTAGGTTCACTTTGAAATAACAATACTATTAGTAAAAATAACTATGGCTTTTCAATTTCTAAAGTGTCCAAGATATCATCCTAGGTATATTATGTCATCCAATCTGTGCAAAAGCATCACAAGGTAGATATGCTTATCATTCCCACTTCAGATGATGGAAATGAACTCTGAGAGGTGAAGGAATTGACTTCTTGGTCGTGCATGTAGTTTATGAGTGACTGAGCACATTTGATGTCAGCCTATATTACTCCCAAGCTGCTGTTCTAAACCATCCCAGTCTCCTAACTCTCAGAAAATGTAATGATATCTGACTAGAGAAAACGTTTTGGTAAATATATGCAGATGCTTCATTATAATACAGTGTCTTTCAGGTACAAAGAAACTTCAGAATACGTGAGTGTTTCCTACTCCATCTAAAGCATCTCACAGTAACTAATCTGTCCTTTATATATATATATATATATATATTTCCCAAGTTGGTTCAAACTAATGTGAACTTTCTGGATCTGATCCAGTGATCCACAATGCACAATACAAGAAATAAAAGCTTATTCTCACTTTTCTCCAGACGGATTTCTGGATATGAGTTTCATCTCTTTTGGCATCCAATGCTAAAACCACCAGTAATCACAATGCAGATGTGCAACAAGACAATTTTAGCTACAGCCTCATGCATAAAGTACAGCTCAATTTGTATGAAAAAAGTTTGGAAGAAACATATCGGTGTGTGTATTTACATTTTAATGGGATATAGGTCTGGGGCTATATTTTCTATTACATGGAACTAGTTTCCTAGCAAAGTGTTCTGAATCCTGCTGACATTCTGGCTTAGTGGCTCTCCACCACTTAAATATAACATTTGAGTTTACATGAACTTCCAACATGTTTAATTTTGTTCTGAAGTTCACAAAATTAGCTCCTAGAGTGTAAGTGCAACATGTAAATTAGTGTTTTACAGAATGCCAGAACGAAAGGATCAATGCCAATAGAACAATAGGAGTATGTTGAAGAACTTTTATAACAGTTTACAGAGCAGGTGCTAAAGAGCAGCCTGATGGCAACCCGGCCATCACTCTTGCATTATGATTCTTCAATCTGGGGGAGATTTAAAATGATGAGGTCTCTAATATTTTTTAATATGCTCTACGCCAATCAGAGCCTTCATTTTTCTCTTCAGTGATATAAACCTATAAAATCCTCTTTCATCCTATCATGCTTCCCTTTAATAGCTAAAATTTACGAATTTTAAAAATAATGTATGCAATATGCACCTGTATAACTGCCCCAATACAGTCGAAGCCTCGCTCTGTGGTCTTTCTTCATTGCTTCGTCCTCGCACCTCCCAGAGAAATTCACAATCTTGAATTCGATACTTATCATTACCTGAATATCCTTGTACTTTTCTTGTCTGTATTGTTTTGAATGTTTTAATATTATTTTTAAATAGCATAGTATTTTATACATATTCTTATATATATATAATTTGGTAATTTTTCTTGTTTCTTTTAAGCAATGAATTTCTAAGATTTGTCCATATTGAAACACAGAGCTTTAATTTACTAATTCTAAACGATGTGTAGTATATCATTGCAGGAATATTCCTGATATTATTGAGCTGTTCTCTTCTTGAAGTTTTTTTCTAGTTTTTTGGTAATGCAAATGAACATTTATATATGTGGAACTTTAGTGAATAAACAAAGAAATGGAATTGTTGAATGGAAGAATATATTGATATACAAATTGGTTAGATATTGTTATATTTTTGTTCAAAGTAATTATGCCAATTTACTTAGCAATAATCAGTGGATGATTATATTTCTTTTGTTCTTCATGTCCAGTGACGTTTTCTAATTGAGTTGTTTGTCTTTTACTTACATGCTGTTTCTCTTTCTTTCTTCTTCTTGTTCTTAATACTAATCTATGGTTAGTTATAAGCATTGCAAGTATTTTTTCCTAAAATTGACTTTAAAAATAAATTATGAAATTGAGTGACATACAAAGTTTTTTTCCTTGCTATTATTTGAATATAGTCAAATCAGAAATCTCATGTTTTTAAAAAAACTTTTTATTTTGAAATAATTTTAGATTTTCACAAGATTTGTAAAGATATTGCAGAGAGTTCCTATATACCTTTGCTTAGCTTTCCCTAATGTTATCATAACAAATCATTGAACATTTATCAAAACTAAGAAATTAATATTAGTCAAACACTCTTAACTAGACTATAGACTTTATTCAGATTTCACCACATTTTCCACTAATTCCATTTTTCTCCGCCAGGATACCATGATTGCACTATGTCATCACGTTTTAATCTTTTCTAATCTGTGATAGTTTCTCATCTTTCCTTGCTTTTCATTACCTTGACTCTTTTGAAGAACCGTGGTCAAGATTTTGTAGAATCTCTCTCAATTTGGATTTGTTTAAAGTTTAATCATGATTAGACTGGTTATATGGATTTTGTAGAATATCTCTCAATTTGGATTTGTTGATGTTTAATCATGATTAGACTGGTTACATGGATTTGAGGAGAATGAAATCATTGCATCATGTCAGGTGTATATGATATCAATATGATTTATTAAGTTTGATCATTTGGCTAAGGTGGGATTTGCTAGGTTTCTCTAAAGAGAAACATTTCTTTAAAGTTTTCTTTAAAGACACTATTTTTACCTCTCCATCCTTTATACATTAGAAATTCTTATTCTTCTAAGTTTTTACTTTGCTTGTATCTCTTAAGAAACAGTGTGATAAAATATTATCCTATATATTCTTCAACAAATTTCATAGTTTAGCTTTTTGCATTTTTGTTTTTAAACTACCTGAAATTGATGTTTGTGACTGAAGAGAGGTATAGATCTAATACATTTTCGAAGAGATCATCAATTTTTCCAGCACTATTTGTTAATTTCTCTTTTCCTTCACTTGTGACCTCAAACCTATTTCTGCCATATATGACATTTCCATAGACATGTGGATATTTTTTCTCAGCTTCTAGTTCTGTTCTATTTAAATACTTTTATAGCCCTCCAGCATTATCATACTATAATAATTAATATGATTTTATAGTAATTTTTCTTATGTTGTGAAACAAGTTACTCATCTTGTACTACTTCAAAATTCCCTTCATTATACTTGATCCTTTGCCCGTATAGATCAGTATTAGAAAGAGCTAGAAAATTCACTTAATTTATAGATTATTTTGGAGATAATAAATGCTTTTTTAATATTATTGAGTCCTATCCACAAGCACAGCAAATCTCTTCCATTTATCTATTTTTCTTAGATACTAAATTTCTGTTCATATTTTAATTAAAATTATATACTTTTCTACAGACTGTGAACTTTTTTTAGATTTATCACCAGATACTTTATATTTTTGTTGTTATTATAAGTGGCATATTTTAAAATTGTGTTTTCTAAATGTTTGCTGCTAGTGCAGAAGACTGCATTGTTATATTAGTATTAATCTCATATTCAGCAAATGCTAAAATTTCATATTAATTTTAATAAATTGCATATTTTCTGGAGTTTTATACTTCGAAAGTAAGCATCTGTGAAAAATGACAATTTTCTTACTTTCTAATCTTTCTATCTTTTATGTGTTTTACTTGCCTTATTGTGCTAAGTCTCAAGGAAATTTCTGAATAGAAGCTAAAATAGTGGGCATATTTGACATGCTCCTGATTTTAAGTGAAAAGCTTCTAATATTTAACAGTGATATTTAATATGACACATAGATTTTGATGATGTCTTTTACCAGAATAAGAATATTCCTTGCTATTCTTTGTTTGCTAGGTACTGTTAAAATTTTTTAAGTTTATTATAAAAATTCCTTATTTTTTCAGTTATTTTGATGAAAAACTATAATAAATATTCTTATTTAAACACAACATAATCATGATATATTAGTTTTATATACATTACTGCACAGCATTTTCTTATATTTATTCAGAATATTCACATATAGTCTGTGAAGAGGATTGACCTATAATTTCCCTTTCTGTACTCTCAGCTATATTAACCTCATAAGGGGGAGTTTCACTTTTTTGTTTGTTTTCTAGGACATTTTGTATAAGTTTGAAATTATTTTTTCTTGAATAGTTTTAAATCTCTCATGAAATTATTATTGGCCTAGTATATTTTTCTGGATAAATTATTCTTTAGATTACGTTTTTTTTTGAGGAAGATTAGCACTGAGCTAACATCTGTTGCCAATCCTCCTCTTTTTTGCTGAGGAAGATTGGCCCTGGGCTAACATCCGTGCCCATCTTCCTCTACTTTATATAGGACACCATCATAGCATGGCTTGATAAGCACTGTGTAGGTCCGCACCTGGGATCCAAACCTGCGAACCCCAGGCCGCTGAAGAAGAGCATATGAACTTAACCGCTACACCAACCTGGCTGGCCCCTGGATTTCATTTTAAAAAGAGCTAGAAGACTATTCAGGTTTAATATTTCTTCTTCGAATAAGATTGATAATCTTCATTTTTTCTAGAAACTTGTTTATTTTTTCTAAGTCTTGAAGTGAATTGCAAATGCATACATAGATTGAAGGAGAGATATCAAACTGAACCAGCTGGTCTTCTCCAGAAAAACAAAAAAGATGTATATGTATACACAAACACACACACACAAACATACGCACACATGAATAATACCTCTAAAAGTTTCATCCCTGAAAACTATGATTATGTTATCTTACATGACAGAGGGAATTTCCAGATGTGATTAAATGTATTGAGGACTTTATTCTAGATTATCTGCTTGGGCTTAATATAATCACAACATTTCTTCTTAGAAGGATATCGAGGGAGTCAAAGTCAGAGTAGTAAAAGATATGGCAACAGCAGCAAGAGAATGGAGAGTTGTGGCCACACACCAAGGAATGCCAGAAGTCCATAGCCGTTGGGAGAAGCAAGGAATAGACTATCCCTTGGAGCCTTTGGAAGGAACCAGTCTTCCAACACCTTGATTGTAGTTCCATAAGACTTGTTTTGGATTTCTGACCCCCAGAACTAGAAGAAAATAGAAAAAAAATAATAAGTTAAGTTGTGGCAATTGGTTATAACAACGGTAGGGAACCAATACAGATTTTGGTAATGAAAGTAAGGTGCTCTTGTAACCAACACCTAAAAAATGTCAAAGTTGCTTTGGAATTGGTTAATATGTAGGGCCTGCAAGAACTTCGAGCATGAAAAAGAAAAAAAAAAAAACCTAGATTGCCCTGGAACAGAATGTTGGAAATATGGATGCTGAAGACTGTTGGTGAGGGCTCAGAAGGAAATAATGATCATGGTAGATAAAACCTATCTCACATATGGATGTTAATAGCACTCAGTGATATCGCAGATGGAACTGAGAAACACAGTAAAGAAATCTATATTGTCTTAGAAAATATCTACATCTTCATAAACAGACTGTTGATAGAAATATCACATTAAAAGTGCTGGTGGTAACGGCTCAAAAGACAATGAGAACATGTTGTTGGAAATGGAGCAAGGGGGATATTGGCTACCTAGTGGCAGAAATCTTAGTTGAATTGCACTTGGATATTTCCCTGAGGAGATTTTCAAACAAAATGATGAAGGCGTTGTTTGGCTTCTTTTTACCGCTTATAGTAAAATGTGAGAGTTAAAAGATAAATTGAGAGAACAATTGTTAAGCAAAAATAACCACATTTGGTGATTTGGGAAAATCTCAGTCTTTCCAGATTGCAAAAGATGCTAAAATTAGGAGATTCACTGTGTCTAAAGAGAAAGCCAAGGGTGTGGTTGGACAACATTTTGCTAGTGCTCAGGAACGATCAAAAGATCAGAATATTTATTCATATAGACAACTATTTGAAGAAATAAGGACTGTGACTCAGGAATCTCCTCAACCATCTCAGCCTAAACTAGGAGTAGAGATTGGATTAGGCAGGAAAGATCTTTGGTGAGGCCTCTTGTTTAAAGGAGTAAATCCCAGTGACATATGCAGGAGATTCACAAGGATTGTGGGCATATTATACCAGCAGAAACACTGCCAGATTGGACTAAAGAAAAGTGAGACAGAGAAATGAAAGAAGGCTCTTGGACTCTCAAAATTCTGCAGATAGTAAATAGGCTGATAAAACTACTCATCAGTAAACATGTGCTCCCCTTCATGAAAAAACAATGATGCCTTGGAGGGGAGAACCTTAGGCCCAGAGGGATGAGTGTTGGGTTCAGAGTGCAAGAGTCTTGAGCCACAGAGAATTGTTTCCATGCCTTGAAACTTAATGAAGTTTACCCTGCTAAATTTTAAAATGCTTAGGACTTTCTCTTTGAATGAGAATGTCTATACCTGTCATTTTATGCCTCCCCCACCATTTTATTTAGAAGCAAATAACTTGTTTCTTGTGTTTCACAGGCTCACAGAGAGGAATTTTGTCCCAGAATTGACCATACGTAGAGCCTCAACCATACTTAATATAGGTAAGATTTTAAGCTTAATTTGATGCTGTAATGGATTGAGACTTTGGGAAATTTGGAATGAGGCAAATGCATTTGGCATGTGGGATGGACGTGAACCTTTGAGACCCAAAGGCAGAGTGTGGTTGGCTGAAATTATTCTGCCAAAGACATCCATGTCATAATACCCAAAATATGTTCATACGTTACTTTATATGGTGAAAAAGAGTTTGCAGACATGATTAAATCAATGATTTTGAGATAGAGAGATTATCCTGGATTATCCCAGTGGCCCCTATCCATGCAAATAATCAATAATCATCCTATAGATAGGAGAGAGAAGGTGACTTTTGCTTGAGCCAGGCTGATGACTATAATCCAGAAAGGCAATCTCCACAAAGAAAGACAGCATTCTAGAGAAGCATGGTTTTCAGTACAGTTTTATACATTTTTAGAACAAGGAACATACATTAAACATGCCCAGGATACACATTCATCAAAGTTTCAAAGAGGTATTCAGGTGCAAATTAGTAGGTCAACATGACCCCAATGTCCTAGAAAGGGAATTTATCTTCAGGAGTACTGATACCAGCATTACCCATACTGGTGCTGTAGAAGGGAAGTATGCATTTTTATCTTAAGAGAATGCATTCTTTTACTATGAGATAATGTTTAATGCGCTCTTTATTTTAATAGTTAAAACAGATGTGCAGTGTTATGTTTGATAGGCCGTAAGTCAGACTTCTTTAGTTCAAGCTAAATCAGTTTTAAACCAGAATAGCACCCCATATACCTCAATATGTGAAAATTTCTTATCATCCCAATGTGAGTACAATGTTTCTTGTAAGAAAGATGCAGGAGGTGTCAGAGTCAGATTAGTAGGAGATATGATGGTGCACAAGAGATTGCAGTGATGCACCGATGAGCCAAGGAATGCTAGCAGTCCCTAGAAGTTTAAACACTAGAAGTTTAAACAGGAAAGAAACAGACTTCCACATTGAACTTCCAGAAGGATCTAGGCCTGCTGACACTTTGATTTTGATTTTATCCTCATATAACTCTTTTCAGAGAATAAAATAATGTTGTTTTAGGTTGTTCAAGTTTATGGTAATTTATTACACGAGCCATAAAATACAAATTCTCTCTTTCTCTCTCTGGATTATTGGATTGGCCTAATATAAACACAATATTCTTTATTAGAGGGACATACACACATGCACACACATATGCACACACACACATATTTCCAGATATCTCTTTTGCCAAATTAAGAAAAAATTATATATACTTTTCTCAAATTCAAATTTTAGGTTCTCTTTTGAGAAACTTTATTAGCAACTGGAAGACATTTGGGATGTTAATAAAAATAGTATCATCAATATTATCAATGTTAATAATAATAGAGTTATGTTAAATTTCTATATAAAATATTGTTTATTAAATGACACATTATTTATTGAATAGGTGAAATTTTGGGGCCTTGTATTGCTTACATTCCAGGGAAGAGAGATGGAAAATAATAAATAAATAAAGTGTATAGTGTATCACACGATAAGTACTTTATAGAAAAATAAATTGAAAAATAGGAAAAGACACTGCAGGAGTTGAAAGAGTTGTTTGTAATTGCCTTATTAAATAGAGTGGTCATGAAAGACTTCTTCACTGAAGCATTAGCCTGGATTTCTTCCATGAACAGGAAGGGGCTATAAGTTTATGGAAGATATCTAGACTAATATTTACTCCTTTAAAAAGCTTTTTCCAAAGTGCATTGCAGAAGGCAGTTTTTCCCATATGAGAAAGGCAAGGGTAGGGTATAAGCAGATATCTGGGGGAAGAGCATTTGAGTCAGAGGCAACAGTTTGTGCAAAGATCTTGAGGCAAAAAAAAATGCCTTATGTATTTGAAAATCACCAAAGAGAGAGATAATAGTAGGAAATGAGGTCTGAGGATTAAAGGAATGGGGCAGATCCTGAAGAACTTTTGGGGGGATTGATAGACTTTGGCTTTTACTCTGGGTAAGTTAAAAAAGTATTAGCAATTTTGAGCAGGAGAGGGCCACAATGTGACTTACATGTTAAGAAAAGACTGTTCAAGAGTAGGGGTGGAGCATGGAAACCAATATAAAGGTCATTGTTGATTCTCTGTGAGAGTGAGTGGCTTGGGCTAGCGGGTTAATGGTGGAGTTGGTGACTAGCCAAATTTTGTGTACATTTTCAAGAAGATTCTTAATGAACATCGTATGGGGCAGGAGACAAAGAGAGGAATCAAGAATACTTTCAATGTCCTTGACCAGAGCCAAAGGATGGCTTGAAGTCTACTGAGCTAAGAATGATTGCATAAAGTGTAGGTTTAGGGAGAAGATCAGGGTTTCAGTTTTGAAGAGCTGTGTTCTTGCACCCAAGTGAAGATACCAAATATGCCGCTGGAGATTGGAATTTAGCAAAGTGATCTAGGCTAGAGATTTTTTAATCCTTATAAAAGCATTTACTAAAGTGCATTTCATACACCTCTAGTTCTGCAGCAGGTTAATAAGCACTAAACACACAGCTTATGTAGTCAAAATTTCTGGGAAATATTGAGTTAATATAAATAGGTTTTATTACTTCTCAGAATCATTAATATGATAATGTAATTTTGATACCCAAAAATTAAGACATAATATTTAGAATTTTCTGACTTTGTTCTATCTAGAATCTTCCTTTTCCAGTAAAATTTTTGGAGCTACTGTTTTGAAAGGAACATTTGGTGGAAAACTATAACGACAAGGCTGAGAGTATTATTCTTACTTTACAATGAGAAAATCAAGTATCAAAGAATTTGAGGAGTTGTTTTAAGGTCACATACCTGGGATTCAAACTCAAGTCAATCCTTTTCATTGTTTAATTGAACTCAAGAAAAGGAAGGGGCAATATGGGCGCACGTGGTTTCACTCTACAGATTGGAATAAGCAGAAGAAGCCAAGCAAAATGCCCCAGGACTTGGTACCAGATCCCTTGTGGACAGAGTAGAAGTGCAGAGTATTGATAGAAACAAGCCAGAGTGTACTGTTTGATTCTACTCAGTTCTGGCTTGAAATATTTTAGATAATAATGACTATATAACTCAGAGTGTTGTAGAGAGCCTGGAGAATACCTTTGAACTAGTATGGAAAATTTTCTTCTAACACGTATAAACTATGTGGATTCTTGGAAGGTTTTCCTAGCTCAGGTAACTCTGTGCATCTTTGGCCACAAGAGTCCTGAGATTTGAGTCAACAAGATGAATTTTATTCAGTTAGATAAGGATCAGGTGGTGGCAGAATGGTGGGAAGTGATAAATACCCTTGTACAAAATGGAATGAAATAATGAGCCATTCAAAAAGCAAGCTTTGAGGAAATTACTGTTCTTTTTAATAGTTTTGAAACTGTGTTTAATTATTATTCTCTCAAGTTTAGGTTGCCTAAAGAATTGAATCTCAAATATGACCTGAGGTCCCATGGAGGTGGAGGGACACCAAAGTGGGCTGCAAACTGAGCCCCCCAGCGGCTCTTACTGTTGCTGACAACC